TTTAGGGTTTAGGGCTTGTGGATTTAAGGCTTGGGTTACTTGTCCAGTATCCTGCAGCCTGCAGGAACTAAACCGCCGTAACCTTTCAGATTCTACGGTGGCTGCATAGGGATTATAGTGCCCCCCAAGCGGTTGAAAGAAATCTACTTACTTTCCTGCCCTACACCCTATAAACCTTCCTATCAAATCCTAAACTACTACCAAGGTTCCCTGCTTCTCTGTTATGCTGACCCTTCGGCGCTTCTCGAAGATGTTGTCGCCCATGGCCTGGGCGTGCTTTAAGCAAAGGGTGAGCCAAATATGGACCCAAGATGATAGGAACCTCACACAGTAACTTTTTTGAGCCCCTGAAACATTAAACCCCCCCAAAAACCAAAAAAAAAGAAAAAAGCAAAGCTTATTGAACGCCCCAAGAACTGAACCAACAAACACAAAACAAAGCCGATTGAACGCCCCAGGACCTGCACCAAGGACGGCCGGGAAGGCCGAAGCTGCGTTTGCCATTGCTCCGTCGAGCCGGGCATTAGCAGCGGCGCCTTCTCCTGCAGCGCCTTCTCAATCCTGGGCTCTGCTTCAAGAACTACCTGGACCCCAAAGAGCCTGCCCTTTTTAGGGTTCCTTTTTATATATGTCCTTAAAAAGGTAGGTTATTTGGGGTTAAGGTAGGGTTTAGGGTTTAGGGCTTAAGATACCATAGTAATAATATAGGGATCTGTAGCCAACAGGCTTACCTTACTATGGCCATTTATAAGATGAGACCCTATAACAACCCTAAACCCTACACCCTCTTAACAAGAGCCCAAGAATCGCAGCCCTCGATCCCTTCAAGGCAGCTTCTGTGGCGTTCAGGACGTAGGCTTCCAACTTGTCCATCGCAGCCTTGATAGCATCCTGCAGTTTGTTAATATTTTAGGCTTTAGGGTTCGTAGGGTTTAGGGGTTAGAGGTTTAGGGTTTAGGGTTTCGGGTTTAGGGGTTTAGGGTTTAGGGTTTAGGGCTTTAGGGGTTTGGGGTTTAGGGGTTTGGAGGTTTATGATACACATACTGATACCATGAAATTTTATTTTCACTTGTACTTTCAGCCAAACCGATGTCGATATCTATGCCTATACGAATACCGTTACCTAGACCTCATACTTATACTTATACGTATACCTATTATACTTATACATATACTTATACATATAGGGGATTCCGAAAATAGGGGACCCTGATATAGTACCCTAAATAGTAGGATCCGTATTCTAAGGACCCCAAAATAAGGTACCCCCAATTTTCGGAAAGTCCCATATACACATGGGACCAGACTTCCCCTACCAGCAGGAGGTAGAGAGATGCTTGTCGGCCCAGTTCCCCGCGTGAATTGCCTTCCCATGGATCATGGGTTTAGGGTTTAGGGGTTTAGGGGTTTAGGGTTTAGGGGTTTAGGGGTTAGGGGTTTAGGGTTTAAGGTCAAAGTGCGATGCAAACTGTAATCTCGATTCTGCACTGCTTTGGAACCATTTCCTGAGAATACTCGGCGTCCGCCCGTGGGATGGACCTATATCCCTACGGGCCATGCGAGAGGAACTACAGCAATGTCTTGTCGCACCGTAACAGCGAAGTTCGATGCTTGGCAGAACTTGCTGTTGAGGAACTTGCTGGCCTTGAAGGGTCTATCAGTGGTTCCGACGCAAGCCCTGCGACAGCTTCGGTCACGGTGACCCCAGCTGACAGGCTGCAACTCTCTGAGTGTGGTGTTGAGCGCAGCGTGGTTGGCACTTGTTCACCCAACCGCGTATCTGTGGCGCGGTGGATGTCACGGCCAAATGGCGGGGAGTTTGGAAGCCGCGTGGGCATGCGAAGAGGGACGTTTTGCTTTTCCGAGAGATGACAAAGTTGAATGAGGCAGAGCAACTCCGTGCCACAGGTAACTCGATCGTCGATGTTTGCTGGGACCTCTCCGGCATCGAGCACGGCATCCAATTAGATGAACGAGATCCTTCAAACAAGACGTTTGGTGGTGGTCGTAAGGGCTCTAGTGCTTTTTGCTTTGGGAGCGGTGCTGGAATAGCAGGCGCCCAGCACTTTGATGGAGGACAGCTGCCTCCGGCCAAGACGACCGGCGACAGAGGTAACGCCTTCGATACCTTTTCCAACGAGGGTCATGCATGGCAGCCACAACGAATGCCTTCATGTCTGCACTTTATACAAACCCTATAAACCCTAAACCCTACGATTCCCTAAACCCTAAGATTCCCTAAACCCTAGACCCTAAACCGTGGATGGCCAGAGATCTGACCACACCATTGTTGTTGCGAACCCTCTCTGCGCTTTGGGTGGGTTCAGCGCCAGAGTTTCGTCGGCAACCTGGCGATGACGGCAATGCTTGGCTTGCCCATAGGCCCCTAAGTAGTTCCTTTTTGAGAGCACCTTATAAGATTCTAAATATAAGCCATAAAAAGGAAACTACTTAGGGGTTTATGGGTGTTCCTACAAAATGGATTGACCGGCTCCTTCGGGATACGACTGATCGCATCGGTCCTTCGATCCCGGGGGTTCCTGCTTTCCCCGGCTTTGTCTTCCGGCACTTTGCGAAGTCCGTTCCCTGGGGCTCCAAATAGCCCAAAGTAGGTACCATTTATAGACTTTAGCCCCCAAAGTAGGTACTATGTGTATACTTGGAGCCCTAGGGGTTAGGATTCTTGTACAGGGCACTCGCGGTAGCTTTTGGCTCATGGTACCTTCGAAGGGACCTGGTGCTTTTCCGGTCAGTTCCCTCGTGACATTCGTGGTGATTCATGGTGTCTCGGGGACAGGCTCCTGTTTTCCTTCAGGCTTCGTTACGGTTTTCCGCTTTCTCCGGCCGGTTTGACATGTTGCCCGCTCCACACCCGCAGTTGCCCTGTCCACTCCCGCTGTTGCTAGATTTCTGCTCCACACTTGGGGACAATGCCGTGAGTGCATGCTAGTCAGTGGTTGAGTCCACCGTTTAATTAGGTGCATGCCACATGGGCTGCAACCGAAC